GGGCGCCGCCCCAGCGGGGTCGGCGGATAGTAGCTTAGCAGGGTTCAATCTTGCGAGTTTTTCCCCGAGAGTTTCGAGAGGTCTCTGCCTTTAACGCCACTTCGAGGCTGTGGCCTTCAGGGTACCCGTAAGTCCTTTTACCGTGGCTCGTGGATTTTGTTAGCCTTTGTGGACGGTCGAAAACGAGTTCTTGAATGGCAGCTGCTATACCTGCACAGAAATCCACCTTCCCGTCCAAGAAGCCTTGTGAAGGAGCTCTTTAAAGGAACCCCAAGCCCTAAAACCCTTAACGGAACCCTTAAAGCACCCTATACAACCCCTTTAAAGGAGCCCTCTAAAGGACCCGGTGAGGACCCGACTTCAAGCTTCGATGGGGTAATGTGGCCCCCACGCTAAGGCACCACCTAGACACGTAAAGAAAAGACCTACGGGTTTAGGGGTTTAGAGGCCTGAGGGTATAGGGTTTAGGGCTTTATAGAGGCCTGAGGGTTTAGGGTTTAGGGTTTAATAGAGGCCTGAGGGTTTAGGGATGTAGGGATCCTGGAAAACCCTGCACTTCCACGGTTTCTTATTCTGATTTCCTGACAAACTATCGTACCAAGGTAGGTCATTTGAAGGTTATGTAGGGTTTAGCTAAAGCCTAAACCCCACCTGAACCCTAAATAACCTGTTGTTTTAGGACATTACAGAAATCATAGTAGGGAGCCAAAAACGGGAAGGTTTTATAGGGTCCCGGTAACTCCTAAACCCTATAAGCCTTATAAACCCTATAAACCCTAAACCCTAAGCCCTAAACCCTATAAACCGTAAACCACCGTACTGACCGAGGTGAACCTACCCACAGATCAGCGCGATCTGCTCTTCAACTTCCACGGCTGGGAGCTGAATGGTTGGTTTAGAGTTTAGGGTTAACGGTTAAGACCGAAGTTTGTGTCTGTGTATGCACTTAAATTTTCAAGCAAACAGACAATCAAACAAACAAACAATTGTGTGTATATATATATACATATATACATATATGTATACACATAGCTACACATACATGTACATGCATACACGTATGTTTATATTCATATATATATATATATACATACATACATACATATCACTTTCCCTGCATAGTTCCGCATGCAAGCATGGCATGCGCATAATATTTTTGTGTCCGTTTCCAAATCCCGCATGATTGGTGACCACGCCAAAAGTAGTTGCTCCTGGTAAGGTTCAGCTGGTTCATATATACATAAATACGATTAATAATCCAAAGACCATAAAAATCCTAATCCCCAAACCCCAAACTCTAAATCCCAACCCCCACACAAACCCTAAACCTAAACCGAACGATCTATGAGCATTGATCTAACGGTCCTTGTCTTCGCCCGCGAGCTCTTGAGCCGACACTTCTGGATGCCTTTAACTCCACATTGCCTACTGTAGGGGCCTTAATAATTACCTATATTATTTTAGGGCTTCCTTATAATAATTATAGTATAATGGGCCCCAAAAAAAAACCCTATTCTAATTATTGAGGTCCCTACAAAAAACCTATATTCGGAACCTATAATTATAAGGAAGGCATCATCTTAGGGAATAGAAAAAAGGTATATAGGTTCTTTAGTCCTGGTATGTATCAGTTACAAGCCCTGAAACCAAAGCTCCTTCACTCCCGAAGTCTCAACTCCTAAACGTTCTGCCCAAAAGCCTTAAGCTCCTAAATCCATCCTCAACCTGAATTTCTCGCCCTCATGCTGCCCCCCCCCCCCCATACACTTCCCAAGGTTTGCCAATCCTAGAATCCTGAAACCCGAATCTGTCTTCCAGGTCGTCATCCCGGGTTTGGGCCAAGCTATTACAAGGCGCGACTGCATCGTTCGGAGTCCATGTGCCGAGATGGTGATGTTCGGACAAGGGAGCTGATCCTTCCAGGTCTTTGTGGTAAGGGTCTTGCTAGGAATGGTGCGAAATGAGGGAGTCCCCGACTTCTGCATGCACAGGGATTTTGGATTGCCTTGTTGTTAAGGTCTTCGGGCACTGCTAGGGTTTCTTTTTTGAGCGATTCGGTTTAAGGGTTTAGGGTTTAGGGTTGACTCCGGCGTCTGCAGGCCTTTCTGAGGCGTTCCTATGTAGTGACTTCGGACCGCAAGTATATACCTTAAGCCTAATAAGGGTCCATGTACCCAATTAGTATATACTTTGGGCTTAAAGTAGTCCCTATATAGGTAATTTGGAGCCAACGTATGTACCATCTGGGCACATGGACCCTCAGGGTAAAGAGGTCCACGGTTCCCTGGGCGCGGGACGGAGGTTCAGAGTGCACAGTAGGTTTTTTTAGGCTGAGGGTCCCCAGAAAGTAGGTCCCTATAAATCCCATATTAGGGTTTATATAACCTACAGAAAAGTGGGTTTTGGTAGGTTAAGGTTAAGGTATGGCTAATGATGGACAAGATGACACATCTTCCCCGCTAACAAGGACGAAAACATGGCCCGTATGGTTCAATTAGGACATGTCTGGGGTCATAGTATACCATAGATCATCAGGAGTTATTCCGCCGGTAAGCTCTAGGGGGCCGTGTGTTTGTGGATGCTTTGTTTCTTGAGGTTGGGATTTAGGAATTCCAATGTCTACTCTTCTATAATGCATGGTCACGCTTTAGCCCTAAACTCTACAACTCGGGCTTAGGGCTTGAAGTTTAAGCGTGTTGACCTTGATTGAAACCCCAAACCCTAAACCCCTAAACCCCAAACCCTAAACCCCTAAACCCCTAAACCCTTAACCCCTAAACCCCTAAACCCTAAACCCCAAAACCAGTGGTTCAAACCCCCGGTGTGAACCAAAAGCCTCAACACTCTTTTCTAATGGCTCAGTTTCGTAAGCTCAGTGTGGATGTCAGAAGGGCTAGCATTGGTAGATGTATGCCCTCATTATATAGTCCGTATATGTCAGTATATATAATTGTGCAGACACTAACTAGAGCGCACACCGAAGCCCTACGATAATTCGGCAGCGGTGAGGTACATAACAAACCCTCTTGCGAGGCATCCAGTGCACTCTTGATAGGATAGGGTTTTAGAGTGTACGCCTAAACCCTACAAACCCTGAAACCCGAACCCCAAACCCAACGGAGGTTCAGAGTTAGGAGATAGGGTTTAGGTTTAGGGTTTGGTTTTCTCACTTCTCAACTCCTCGAACATGTGTGAAATAAAGAGTCCTCCTGTAGCCTGAAACCCATCCTCCTTTGGTTCAGGTTGTAGGGGATTCGTTTAAACATGGCTTAACCCTCGGGATCAAAGCACATGACAAGCATCTACTCCCACGCACAATTGAAATCCGACCTTTCTACGATCTTTAAGCCAAGTCTCTGAATGTTAGATCCTTTGGACCCATAGGGCAAGCAGTAGCTTGATATTATAAGGTACATTACACCCAATATTGTACCCTAAGGGTCCTTGTACCAATATCGTGTATGCTATAGACCCTAAAGTACCTAAATAGGATGCACATTGAGGCCAATGTATATACTAAATGAGTCCGTGGACCCTGAAGGGTAGCGCTTACGGAATATTCAAAAGCAAGGTACGTTGGAAGATCGACGCATACCCCCTGAGACTAAACCCTTAACCCCTAAACCCCTAATCCCCTAAGCCCCTAAACCCTAACCCCCCCAGCCTGGAGCCTGCTAAGAGGACAATGTGGTTCGCGGCAAGATCATTGATACCTTCACGGGACATCTCCGGTCCTGTCCTGTTCTGCTTCAGGGTGACATTGATACCGTTGTTGAAGTTTTCAGAATGCAAGTGAAGTTCGTTGCATTCACATGAAGTCTTCCATGATGTGGGATTAGTAGCATTGCCCTCGGTTTCGAGCTAGCCCAAAATCCTTGTGTGGTATGAATCCCACGGCACGTTCGCACAGCATAGTCTCAACATCCTACTCAAGTTCTGGAGAGGACAAACCCCAAACTCAATGCCCTCAAATCCCACAAGTTTGGTTTTAGCATGAGCAGAGCAAGCCCCTCATGACTCCGTCTCGGAATGTTGCACCTGTACAGTTGTTTGTTTAAGGTTTCGGCTTGGGTTATTGACCCAGAGGTGACCGTTGGGTTTAGACTCCATTCGGGCTTTGGGTTTTGAGCTTCGGGTTTTTGGAGGTGCAGGGCTTTGAGTGTAGACTTTCGGGTTTTAAGTTTTGGGCTCAGGTCCATTTGCTAGGTGTGTTTGGGGTTTGTATGACGGCATGTTGTCGAGACCTCGGGCTATGGTCTCCATTTCCAGTCGCGTTTCAAGTCTTTGAGCCTTAAGGCACCCAAGGGCTGTGGCGGGGGCATCACCATGGATCATCACTGGTGATGGCAATCCTGTTGGGTTGAGGGTTTATAAGGTTTAGGGGGGTTTTCTCTTCCGGCTGGATCCCGTGGCACGGGTGCTACTCTCCGGTCGCTTCTCCTGCACTGGCGGGCGTTTTTGAGGAACGCCAAGACCTGGAGAGGCATAAGAGCCTCTGCCATCGGGGCAGATACCACTACCTCACATGCTACAAAGCTTTTTGTGGCTCATGCCGTGTGAGGCGACCCTGAAGCTCCCTTATGGGTCCTATTGGTATGGTCTAATATAGGATCGATTAATACACCCTGGGTCTTTTTTGGAGGGCTCTGCTATATGGATCCTACTATTTTTGGGGG